TCAGCTTTGAATTTGGCCTTTTGTGTGTCAGTGATAATTGAAAATATTTCTTTGAGGTTCCTGACAGTTAGTTTCAACCATACTGTTGGGGTTATGAAGCTGTTTTTCACATCAGTTTTTACTTGCTTGATGACATTGGAATGGAGACTCGACTCACTTACATTACTGTTATTCCCGTTGTTACTGGGGTCATCATTGCCAACCAAGATGAACTGATTTTCCATCTATTGGGTTTTATCATGTGCATTTTATCCCCAGCAGCAATAATTCCATGAACCTCTTTCTGTACATGGATTCTATAGCGGATATGTTTCTACTTTCTACAATGCTCATTATGAAAGAAAGCATGATCAGTATCACATTTTCCTTTGCCCGAGATGATATCAAGATCAGTTAGTGTCTCCTATTCAATTCAACACTAGCATATCTTGTGAATTTGACCAACTTTTTGGTCATACCAACATCACACTTGAATCCCCATGGAGTTTTGTTCTCAAATGGTCTTGTGACATCATACAAAAGCTTTAAACACTGTGCAAAGAGTTTTCTTGACCAGCAATCCAAGCAGAAGCCACATGAGATGATGAATGTGTTGTCAAATGTTTTACGAACCAGTGATTATGGTGTTGAACCAATGTTATTATTCTATGGTTTTCATTTATTGACCCAAGATGAATTTTGTCTTCTTCAACCCCAAGATAAGATGAGATATGATGAAGATTTCTTTCCGCAGATGGAGAGCTGGAATTTTAACCACAAGAAACTAGTTAAACGACAGGTTATGGTTAATCGTCTCAACATGATATGGTTCAAGTTGCTTTGTTCGAGAACCAATTAAATATGGAGACATGAAAGGAATTGAGATAAATCCTCTTTGTGATATGTTTCAAGAGTCAAATTAGAACTGATTCTACTCTCCTAATTAATTCTTGCTGAGTCAGGCATATCTACATCTACACTCTTCAAAGATGATAGATTCCCTTTTTTAAAGATGACAGATTCTCTTTTCAAAGATGAAAGCTTTATCGGATTTCTGCACAACTCCAAGCAAAGAAAGTTGGTTTTATTCAAGACAAAATGGGGTATCAGGGTCAAAATTTTGACTACAGCAAGAGTTCCACAAATGAAACATTTCTTCTGAGACTTAAATGAAGTTAAGAAGACGCCAAGATACAAGTTGATCAGATGGTTCTTCAGAAATGCAAGTCTGATAGCATAAGTTTCTACACTGATATCCAGAGATAACCCTGACAATAAATGATGAAGTGAAGGAAGACCAAGTTCACCACTTTGAAGTCAAATGAAGATTGCATCAACATTCATGCATTCATAAGAATATCATTTACACAATAGACAATGCATTACATTGATACATCTGAGTGCATTCAAACATAAAGTTTTACAGATCTTCGGAAGAACAAAAAGATTCATGTTAAAAAATACCTTACACAAAGAAGGTATTCAAAACCAAAAATACATGAATCATGCAAACATCTGAAGAAGATATGGACGCAATCCACAAAAATGAGCATTATCTTCAGATTGGGTCATGTTACCCAATCAACATGTTATTTCAAAAAACAGAATGAGAAAACGATTTTCATAGTTTCTCATTTTATCTTTTCTAAAATGAAATTGTTGAAAAGTAAGAAAACGATTTTCTTAGTTTTTTTACTTAGTAAACTATTTCTAACAACCTTATCTTGAGATTGGGGCATGTTACCCAATCAACATGTTATTTTGAAAAATAATGAGAAAACGATTTTCATAGTTTCTCATTCAATCTTTTCTAAAAATGAAATTGTTGAAAAGTAAGAAAACGATTTTCATAGTTTCTTACTTAGTAAACTATTTCCCACATCTGTAAGTCCTGCAGTGCATGATGTTTCCAAAAAGCCTTCGGGAGCTTTTTGATGTTTTCAAAGCCTTAGGATCATCTGTAAGTCCTGCAGTGCATGATGTTTCCAAAAAGCCTTCGGGAGATTTTTGATGTTTTCAAAGCCTTAGGGTCATCTGTAAGTCCTGCAGTGCATGATGTTTCCAAAAAGCCTTCGGGAGCTTTTTGATGTTTTCAAAGCCTTAGGGTCATCAGTAAGTCCTGCAGTGCATGATGTTTCCAAAAAGCCTTAGGGAGCTTTTTGATTTTTTCAAAACCTTAGGGTCATCTGTAAGTCATGCAGTGCATGATGTTTCCAAAAAGCCTTCAGGAGCTTTTTGATGTTTTCAAAACCTTAGGGTCATCTGTAAGTCCTGCAGTGCATGATGTTTTTAAGACCTCTGGAATGATGTTTTCAACATTTCAGTTTTACTCAAAAGAAGTCAAATGAAAAATTATTGTTTTTTCTTCTTTGCTCTATTCTTGTTAAAACAAGAATGAGCAAAGAGGGGTAGCTGTAAACACCAATTTTTCATTTTACTTAAATTATTATTAAAATTATTATTATTATTATTAAATATTATTATTATTATATATATATATTATATTATTATTAAATAATTATTATTTACAAACAGGCCCAATGAAAACTGGACCGGCCCAGTTACAAACAAAACAGAACCGGCCCAGACCAACCAAAAACCCTAAAACATTTAGGGTTTCAGCTAGGGTTTCTAACCCTAGTGCCGCAGCCGCCTCTCCAGCTGCCAGAGACCATTGCCGACGGTCAGCTGCCAGATGCTCGAACCCGCTACAGCCACGAAGCCGCCGCCTCGCCAGAAGCCTCCAGAAGCCAGCTGCCCCCCCACACGTCGCGACTATGGGGTGAGTCACCACATAGCTCGATGACTCACCGAACTTCCCCCTCTGGACCGGTCCGAGCATGGCTCCGTGGTGGCTATAAAAGCCACTGGATCCTGCAAAACGAAAAAAAGGAAGAACCGGAGAAAAACAGAAACAAGAGCAAAAAAATATACCAAACATCCCAGTCAACAACAACGAAGCAACCAGAAAAAAAATCGAGAGAAAAGAGAGGAGAAACCCTTACCGAGGAAGCAGAACCACCGGAGAACACCAAACATCGCCGAAGTACCGAAAATACCAAAGGTATTTTCTTAGATCTAGGAAATTCCAGGGACTTTTAGGGAGAATAGATGCCGGATTCGGCCTTAGAACGGTGAGATTTATATCCTAGGGTATTTTAAAAAATTTCCGGCCACCGTTGACGGTGGCCGGCGGCGATGTTCGGAGCCAGAGTGCGGCTGTCGGTCGGAGACCGTGTTCCCTCCGGTGAGGGAAATTAAGAGAGAAGGAAGAGAGTTTCTTCTTCTCTCGTTTTTGAGAGAAGAAGAAGAAGAGAAGAATGAGGTTGCTGGCCCTTCGGGCCAGCTATGAAGGGGTATATATATCCCTTCCCGAACGACGTCGTTTTGGGAAGGGGTATATGCGTAATTTACATATATGGCTAAACCCTTTCCGTAGCCATCCGAGTTTTGTAATTATTCATTTTAGTCACTGAAACTAACTTCTGAATGTTCTAATTCAGTCTTCGAATTTTATTTTATTATGTTTTAATCCTTACTAGTATTAAATAATATATTTAGGATAAATATCACATTTAGTCCCTAATAATTTTAATATTTCTATTTTAATCACCGATTAAATAAATAATGGTTAATTACACTACTAGTATTTATATTTTATGATAATTCTAACCATGTCTCTTAAATATTTATATTTTATAATTTGATCATTAAATTTTATATAATCTTAATTTTAACCATAAGTTTTATTATTTTTACATTTTTAAGTTCATATATTTATGAATATGATCCATTAGTTTTTAATATTATTACTTTTAATTTCTTTCATTTTAATTATTATTATTTTATTTTATTATTACGTTTAATATATGTTTAAATTATTATCTTCATGATTATTTTATTATTATTATTAAGTTATATAAATATATTTATATAATATTTATTTATTTATTCTATTTGTTTATTAAATAAAAATCCTATTTATAAATTTAATTTTATAAATTACTTTTAAGAAAAATAAACATATTTTGATATGTATTTATTTTTTAATATCTAAGAAAAGATCTATCTTAAAATACCTAGAAGTTCTTTTCTGATATTCTTAAATAAATAAATGTCTTATTTTTATAAATCATATATTAATATATTATAATTATTTTTAGATAAATGTTTTATTAACATTTATTTATTTATTAATATTAAGAAAAGAGCTGTCTTAAAGCAACTAGAAGCCATTTTCTGATATTTCTAAGTAAATAAATATCTTATTTATAAAAATAAAGGTATATATTAATATATTTTCTTAAAATTATAGTAATAAATTTAAATTAAATAGAATTATAAATTAAACATATCTTTGAATTTTTTCTAATAATAGAGACAATTTATAATTAAAAAGTACCAATTTTGGGCGTTGTAAGGGTGTTAATCCTTCCCTAAACGTAACCGACCACGAATCCCTTTTTATTATTAAAAAGAATGAATTTTTGGTTAAAACGCAGATCAGTTTATCTTTTAATCGATGTTTTTTTAAAAATCTTTTAAAAGATGATTTTTTAGGTATTCGACCTACCTAACCCAAAAGGCCGATGGGGACTCCCAAAATATTTTTTTTTTAAAAATCAAAATCATTAATTTATTCATATCATTTTTCCCGCCAAGAAAAAATTCGTGCCCGGACGAAAACCGGTTACGACAGCTGCTATATATTTTATCTACTTCCCTAAAGTTGCAAGAATCTATAAACCAAAACATATCTGATTTAAATATATATATAGGGAATAGTTAATATGTATGCATTTTAATTTTTCCTCTATAATTCATTAAAAATAACTATTTAATCATTCAAAAATGGCGAGTATCCAAGTACTTTTTTTTAATTTACTTTTTGCCGGAGCAGGCAAAAATAAGCAAGTAAAAAAATTGAAGTACTAAATTTAAATTTGATTAGTTTTGTGAATTTTAGTTTGGAACGATTACAACGGAGAGTATAACAGAGATAATCAACAAGGATATGCTACCTTTAACTTTATTGCAAAATGGGCACGCCTCATACTGATAAAGAACAACCTCCTTTGGCATGATTTCTTCTGGTGGCGGCTCCTTGGCATAGACCGAAGCAGCAGTGGCCACAGAGGCGGCAACGCCAGCAAGGCCGAGAAAAACAACTTGATCCGAGCTTTTCGAAAAGGACTCGAGGAGGGGAGAGAACCAACGGTGGCAAGAGTTGGAATTGTTAATTCTGCTGCTGCAGAAGAGAGCCACCTGGAGGAGGCGAGGGTGGATGTTGACTGCTCCTCCGTCGTGAACGGTGGATAATGTCCTAGAAAGGACGGAGGAGGTGAACGAGGAGGCCCTTCTCATTGGCGATCCTATAGCTGAGGGGCAGATCTTGGCGCTTGTTAGTTTTTTTAGGGAAGGTTCCAAAGGGTTTTTTGCTCTTGCTTTCCTTCCTTTTTACATTCAGCGATAGAGAATGAGTTTATGGCGAATGGGTTTAGATAAATTACTCTATCGATACATCTCACGTAGGGATGGACAGTCACTCGAACTCGATGGATTTTGACGATCTGATTAAAAAATATAATTATATTTTATATCTTGAAATGATTATAATAATATATTTTTTATATTATTTTTCAATTAAGTACTTATTTTATTAAATAAAATTAATAATTTTATATTATTTAGAGTCGAATCGGATCAGAATCATATTTTATCTCAATAGTCGGGTCGAATTTCAGGTTGGGTGAAATTACCCTAAACTCAGGTCTAATCGAGTTTCTAGTAAAAATATAAAATTTTTGAACTAGATCGGGTTAACAAGAAACCCAGCCCCACCCGACCTATGCCCATCACTAATCTTATCTAGAGATGCAATGGGTTGGGTTAGATAGTTTTATCAATACGACTAAAAGAACATTTAGGGTAAATTATATGTTTAATATCTAAACTATCAGTTTTATTTTATTTTAATACTTAAACTTTCATTTTTTCAAAATCATACATAACATTTACTTTTTGTTTCATTTTAGTACTCTTCGTAAAAAATTTAACCGTACAACTGACGTGATAATTTTTTTAAAATTATTATTTAATTAATTTTATTCAACTAACCAAACTAAACTAACAAAATTAAAACCATAACCAAACAATACTCAACAGTAACAGAAAGTAGAATAAAAAAGAGAGAAAGAAGACTTACCTTCACAGCATTTGGCATCGGTGACGACCGGCAATATCTCGAGAACGACGACGGTGAAGAGTCGAACAACAAAAGGTAACAAAAAATAGTAAAACAAAGGAAAAGAACATAAAATAAAAAGGGTGAAGGGTTTTACCTTCGGGTTCCCGACATTGATAGTTATGGTGGTCGGACGATCAATCCGAACAGTGGATCACGAGCGAATGTCGAGTTGACCAACATAGTTCATATTCAGGGCCATCGGACAATGGACGAAGGTGATGGGATGATAAAGAATTCGAAAAGCCCATCGTCGATTTTGAGAAATCGATGTGTTTTCCGATGAAACGGAGATCAAAATCACGTTTAGGGGGTTAAAAAAGTGTAGCCATGAAGTTGGGACTTCATCGGCTGATGGATATGACGACCTACAATGGACGACATGATATTCAAAAAACATATTTTTTTATTTGAATCTGGTCTAATTCGATTTTTTAGAGTATAAATTTGATTCAACCAATATAAAGTAAAAGACCTAATTTAAAAAAAAAAAATCTATAGAGAGAGTATTATAGAAATTATCCATAAATTTATATGAAAAATTACACTATTGCCCTATGATTGGATTGGGCTAGACGTTTTTTTACCATCCACCTGAACTCGATCAAATCTCACCCTATATAAAATCTGACCAAATCTAATTTTTTTTTATAAAAAAAATAACCTTATCAAATTATGTCAAATCAAAATCCATTGATTACGCATTAAATAGTCAAAAGATTCTTATCACATCAATTATAACTCAATCAATAAAATTATTTATTTCATTATATATATTTTTGACCTAATGAATAAATAAGTGTATAAATTATACAATTTGTTTACTTTAGATACCTAAAATATTTTTAACTTAAAATATGTATCTAAAATTTATCACATATGAATAAAACGTTTTCTGTAAAAGAACGCTTTTATCAAAGGAATGATCGAGAAATAAATTTTAATAGATATTATAACGGTAATTAATTATTTATTAGGTGATATTTGAACCAGAAAACCTAAATATTCTATAGATGAGTAAATAACATATGCGTCTATTCTCATCCACATATCTCGTGCTATTTCATCATGTTTGTTTTTCTTTATTTTCATAATTTGTCTTTATTTTTTACAATCATTTAGAAAAAATAACCAAAACATTTTTTATTAAACAAGAAAGATCTTTCAAAACCAAACACATTTAAAATTATTTTAGTATAATGCTAAAATATTTTAGGTCGAAAAATCTTTTAACATTTGACAGAATTAGAATAATCACTTGGTTCTTTTTTTTTATATTTTAGCTCTCAATATTTTATTTTAAGTAAAAAACCGTTATTTTAGAATGTTAATCATGTATTAACTAATAATTTTCATCTATAGAGGAAACTTTTTATTTTAAAATGAAACTTTGGGGTTAAAATGCTTCAAAAGAAAAAGGATCAAAATGATCATTTTGGTAAACATAGAGGGCTATTTCTGCCATTATAGCTTTAAAATTTTGTTTGCTTTGCAGATTCACTAGATGACTATTTTTCTTAAACCAAATACATCCGTAAATCGCAAAGAAAAAAAAAATTAAAGTATAAATATAAGCAACATAAAATCAAAACTAGAGGGATTTCTCTTATACATTATGAACCTTAATAGTCCAAGAGGAACTAAAATGAACCCATGTTCTTGCAGAACCTGAAACTAGGCAAACCAACACTAAACTTATTGTGATATCTAAACTCGAAAGACTTCATAAACTCACTCGGTCGAGAACTCGAACAACATGGTGTGCTGGTACTTGCTACCAGGTTGAACAACAACTGATGGGAAGTTCTGTTGGTTCACGGCATTCGGAAATCCCTGCGTTTCCAAGCATAAGCCGGCGTGCTTATTGTAAATAGCACCTCCTTTCCCAACAACTCCATTCACGTAATTTCCGGTGTAAAATTGCATCCCGGGGGCATTGGTCCACAGGTTAAGGACTCTCGAGCTCGATGGACTCTTCAATTTGGCAGCGCGTTTCAAACCTGATCGTTCTTCCCCGCTGCTGAGAACATAGTTATGGTCATAACCCAAACCTACCTCATTGATCGAGAGACCAACCTTCTTCTCAGCAGTGAAGTCAAAAGAGGTCCCTTTGACCTGCTTGATTTCACCGGTTGGAATCAGGTTCTCGTCCACAGGAGTGATATCCGATGCCCATATCTGTATTGTATGGTCAAATACGTTCCCCGAGTTGTGGCCTGCTAAGTTCCAATACGTATGTTGAGCCAAGTTAATCGGAGTGGCCTTATTCTCGGGCACCACTTCCATATCAAGCTTCATCGTTGCGCTCGAAGTTAGAGTGTAGGTTGCAGTCACAGAAACATCACCCGGATAACCTTTGAACACAAAAGCAACATCAGAGAAACAAATAGAAACATGTGAACTTGAAAGAGAGTGTGCGCGAACTTACCCTCCTCACCATCGCTGCTGTGATATTTGAAAGTAATGGAGGGGTTGTCGCCTTTCTTATATTCAGCCACCTCCCATATCTTCTTGTCAAACCCTTTGAATCCACCTGAAGGCAAGAAACAAAGACAAGTTGCAATGTGGATTCGCCATAAAAAATCCGATTAAGAATGAAAGTTCCTTATCAATTGAGTGAACAAAAGAAAACCCAGAGACAAGAAGTATATACCGTGGAGACTGTTTGGAGGGTTGTTGATTGGCAAAGAGTACTCGGTTCCATTGAGAGTAAATTTGCCATTTTTGATCCTGTTTGCTACTCTTCCCACAATACAGCCAAAATAAGGTGCAGTACCTTGCTGATCAAACATTATAAAAAATTAACCCCCTAAATCCAATTCTCTAAATCAAAGAGACTAAAAAGACATAATTCAACTCCATAGATGCAAGATTCTATGTTATGAGGAGAACTTATACGAAAATATCTAAAATATACTATAATTTGAAAATTTTAAAGTACAGTTATTCTCATCAGGCCTCTCGATCCATCCCTGAACTCGACAACCACAACCAATCCATTCGTCACAAAAACTACAAGATGAACAGAGACGGGTTTCTCTTATTTTTCCAAAAAACAATCCAATTCACCAGACAAGATTAAGATCAGAATGAAAATTCTTCCAAAGTCAACAGAAGAAACAAACACACAAGAGAGAAAAAGAGAGTGAAGATTTACCACGTACCGTTCGACAGTGTCGAATCCCAGGACGACATCGGCTAATTCACCTTAAAATTCAATAGAAAAAAGAAAACCCAGTGATCGTCAATAACTCAGCATTCAAATTATAGAAGAAGAAGAAGTGGATGGGAGTACCGTTTTTGTCAGGAACAGACAATGAGGTGATAGTGCAGCCGAAGTTGGTGATCTTAACAACCATGGTTCCATTGTTGAGTTCATAAATCTGGGGTTGCTCTGCCATTTGAGGATTTTCTTCTTCTTTAATTTTTGAGTTTCAGATCAGATGTTGGGTTTGGTGTTTATAAAGGAAGAACACTGTCTGTGTCGGTGTTGGGAGGTATTACGTCACTTCTTTTATCTTTTGTCCCATGTGGCATGCCACGTATTCATATCTTTACTAATATCACTACTTGAATGTCTTTAGGATTACTATTATTTTATTTTAAAAACTATTGATTTTAGTAATTAATTAGGCATCAATTGGGGAATTTGTGTTATTTCCTCTTTTGATATATTTTATAAAAATATATTGTTTTTGGAAGTTTTTAATGAAAATTAAATATAAACTTATATAATATAATTGAATTTAATTGTAATTATATAATTGTAACGTTTTCAGATAACTATCATGATTTATGAATTTCTTAATAATTGATGATTCTAATTATATTTTAAAAAAGAAATTATATAATTTCTTAATAATATTTTTAAAATTTTTTTACGGATATTCTTATTGTTCACAAATAAGATATTATTATTATTATATTATCTATAATAAAAAAATTTACGAATATATATTTTTCATAACTTTAACTTTATATATAATAAGTTAATTTTTTATGTAAACATATTTAATAGGTTAGTTAATGTGTTTATTTTTATTCTCTCATATTCTCTAAATAAGATTAAGATTATATTTAAAATTTATAAAAAAAATAATAAATTAACTTTTTTATTTATGCATATGTGAAAATTTATATATATTATATTATATTTCTTTCTTTTTCTTATAATATAAACTTACAAAATTATTGTTATTGTTGCTACATTGTGAGATTTTATAATATGTAGCATATATTTATAATTTCC